TTAGACGAAGAGGAAATTTTATGTACAATACAGATCCCAATTTAAATAAAGGAGATTTAATTGTGTGTTGCCGTCCAATGAAAAAGCTGAAAAAACAGGCAATCAATTTCATTCCTTGTGCAAAATGCAGAGGCCATTTTTTTAAGAATAATATTCGGCATCATTTTAAGTCATGTGCACAAAATAGAGAGAATCATCAAAGAAATATAAAAGTACTAGGGCGTACTGTGGCTTGTCGTATACATTACACTGCAAGTACGTCATTACGAAGATTGGTATTTCCGGTGATGAGAGAAGACAGCATAACTCAGCTTATCAGATATGATGAATTACTTATTGCTTATGGAAATAAAATGTGTTTGAAGTATCGTCTTCAACATCAGCATGATATGATAAGATCACGATTAAGATTACTTAGACGATTTCTTGCCGCTATGAAAGAAACTGATAATACTATAATAGATTTTAAATCAATATATGATCCAAGAAGATATGATCTTTGCGTTAAAGCTGTAAATAATCTTGCACAATTTGACGAAACAATTGGGACATATAAAGTACCTTCTATCGCATCATCCTTGGGAACACTCATAAAACAAGTTGGACAAATTTTAAGGAGTATGTATATTAAGAGACAAGAATCTGATAACCAAGTTGTAGTAGAAAATTTTTTAAAGTTATTTGAAGAAGATTATCCAATCAGCGTAAACAAAGTTGTGCACGAAACTCAAGGACGTCGAATGAGACAGAAAAAGGTAGTTTTACCGTCTATGAATGATATTAAAATATTAAATACTTACGTGAATGATGAACGCACGAAGGCTTTAAAAGCGTTAGAAAAAGATGGATTCTCTATACAAGCATGGCGTGTATTATCCGAAGCAACATTAGTTTCTACTATGATGTTCAACAGAAGACGTGCTGGTGAATTAGAACGTATCTTAATCGAAAATTTAAAAACTTCTACTACAATTTCAAAAGAAGAAGAACCAGAATTATACGAATCTTTATCCAAATATGTTCGAATAACAATACGTGGAAAATTAGCAAGAACAGTTCCTGTTTTACTCCATGAAGAAACAGTAAAATGCATGAAAATGATAGTTAATTATCGTAAACAGGCTGGTGTTCCTGAAGAAAATCCTTATATATTTGGCATAAATACCGTGGACAAAAGAAGACATGCATATTTGAGAGCATGTGTATTAATGAGAAAATATTCTGCAACTTCTGGAGCGAAAATGCCAAATTCATTACGTGGTACAATATTAAGAAAACATATTGCTACAATGTGCATTAAATTAGATGTATCTGACAACCAAGTTAATGATCTAGCAAATTTCATGGGCCATCATGAAAGGATTCATAAAATGCATTATAGGCAATCTGACATAACACGAGATTTAGCTATAACGCGACTACTGAAATATGCTCAAGGAGAAAATGCAACTGATGAAAGTGACGATGAAGATGAACAGGATAACGGAAATATAATTGATTCTGACGATAAAAATGATACAAGCTCAAGTACTTCTGATATTTCATCAAAATCAGATCAATTCTCTGCTAGACAAATGTCTAGCAAGAAACATGAAATAAATATTGATAAGAAAAGTATGTACAAAAATTTTTATATTTAATATTTACATATGTTACTTTTTACATTACACACATTTAAAATTAAATCAATTCTATATTATAAAGATATAAAATATAAATTTTTGTTATTTCAGTATATCCCAAAAGGAAAACAAGTTGCAGAGGTAGAGAAAATATGATTAACTCAGACAATAAAGGTAACATAAACTTAAATTTAAGTACTTCAAATGTACCTAAATCGAAAAAGAGAAAAACTAAAGAGATATCTAACAATAAAAACAACATAAATAGTAATATGAAAGTAGGAAA